TTAAACACAGGCTACCTGCCCTTGCCTGCAGACATGGAGATGTTCCAAAATTGAGTGTCCAGCTGAATTCTGAGAGATTAAACCAGACTTCATGGGACAGGATGCACCAGACTAGACCTCCTCCCAGGAGAAGAGGTATCCAAAGATCGTATTAGCAAATGACCCTTGGCAGTGTGCGGTGGCTCAAGCCTGTAGTCCCAGCACTTTGGGAGGCTGAGGCAGGCAGATCACCTGGGGTCAGGAGTTCGAGACTAGCCTGGCCAACAGGGTGAAATCCTGTCTCTACTAAAAATACAAAATTTAGCCAGGCGTGGTGGTGCACACCCATAGTCCCAGCTACTCAGCTACTCAAGAGGCTGAGGCCAGAGAATCGCTTGAACCCAAAATGTGGAGGTTGCAGTGAGCCGAGATCGTGCCACTGCACTCCAGCCTGGGTGACAGAGGGAGACTCCATCTCAAAAAAAGAAAAAAACGAAAAGAAAAAAGAAAAAGAAAATGACCCAGCCAGCCTGGTGCTTCACACCTGAATCCCAGCGACCGTGGTGGACTTCTGTAGTGCCAGATACTTGGGAGGCTGAGGTGGGAGGATCAATTGACCCCAAGAGGTCAAGGATGCAGTGAGCAAGGACCTTACCTCTGCATTCCAGCCTGAGGGACAGAGCAAGCCTGAGGGTGAACTGAAAGGGGTGGAGTGATTTACATCTTTTTTTTTTTTTTCTGAGCCACTGCGCTGGCCTTTTTTAAAATTTTTTTTAGAGACAAGGTCTCACTATGTTGCCAGGCTGGTCTCAAACTCCTGGCCCCAAGTAATCCTCCCATCTCAGCCTCCCAAAATGCTGGTATTACAGGCACGAGCCACTGCAGTTGGCTCAAAGCAGATTTTCAATGTAGATGAAAAAGCCTTCTATTAGAAGGAGATTCCATCTAGGATTTTTATAGGTAGAGAGAAGTCAATGCCTGGCCTCAAAGCTTCCAAGGACAGGATGATTCTTTTACATGAAATTAATGCAGCTGGTAACTGAGTCTAACCCAATGCTCACTTACCATTTAAAAGATTTTAAAGCCTCTAAGAATTGCGCTGGCCGAGTGTGGTGGCTCACGCCTCTAATCCCAGCAATTTGGGAGGCCAAGGCTGGCAGATCACTTGAGGTCAGGAGTTCCAGGTCAGCCTGGCCAACATGGTGAAATCCCATCTCTACTAAAAATACCAAAAAAATTAGCTGAGCATGGTGGCCCATGCCTGTAGGCCCAGATACTCAGGAGACTGAGAGAATCACTTGACCCTGGGAGGTGGAGGCTGCAGTGAGCCAAGATGCAGCCTGCAGTGAGCCAAGATCAAGATCACACCACTGCGTTCCAGCCCAGGTGACAGAGTGAGACTGTGTCTCAAAAAAACAAACAAAGAAAAGAATTACGTTAAATCTACTCTATCTGTGCTCTGTAAATGGAACAACAAAGCCTGGGTGATAGCACATTTGTTTACAGTATGATTTTGAATATTTTAAGTCCACTGTTGAGAACTACTTCTCAGACCAAAAAAAAAAAAAAAAAAAGATTCCCTTCAAAGCATTACTGCTCTTCAGATCCCAGATGTTCAGCCTGCAAACACAATAAGTAAGTAAATAAATAAATAATAAAAATATGTTACTGCTCATCAAACCTAAACACAACAATAGAAAAATAAGAAAAAAGCGAAAGACCACACAAACACAAAATATCATTGCTCTTTGAAAATGTATCGGCCAGGTAATCCCAGCACTTTGGGAGGCCGAGGGAGGAGAATCACGAGGTCAGGCTTTTTTAAATTAAAGACCTCGTTGAGGCAGGCGGATCACGAGGTCAGGAGATGGAGACCATCCTGCCTAACACGGTGAAACCCCCTCTCTACTAAAAATATAAAAATTAGCCAGGCGAGGTGGCAGGTGCCTGTAGTCCCAGCTACCCAGGAGGCTTTTTAGAGACAAGGTCTCACAATGTTGCCAGGCTGGTCTCAAACTCCTGACCTCAGATGATCCAAGCGCCTCGGCCTCCCAAAGTGCTGGGATTACAGGTGTGAACCACAGCATTGGCCGCCAAGGTTTTCTTCACATTCTTTCCCCGTAAGTCACTTTCCTTCAAAGTCTTTTTTTTTTTTTTTGAGCAAGGTTTCTCTTTGTCACCCAGGCTGGAGTGCAGTGGTGCAATCACGGCTCACTGCAAAGTGCTGGGATTACAGGTGTGAACCACAGCATTGGCCGCCAAGGTTTTCTTCACATTCTTTCCCCGTAAGTCACTTTCCTTCAAAGTCTTTTTTTTTTTTTTTTGAGCAAGGTTTCTCTTTGTCACCCAGGCTGGAGTGCAGTGGTGCAATCACGGCTCACTGCAGCCTTGACCTCCTGGATTCAAGCAATCCTCCCACCTCAGCTCCCAAGTAGCTGGGACCACAGGCATGTGCCACTTCACCTGGCAAATTTTTTTGAAAAATTTGTTTGTCGAGATGGAGTCTGGCCATGTTGCCCAGGCTGGTCTTGAACTCTTAGCCTCAAGCAATACTCCTGCCAGGGCCTCCCCAAACTCTGGGATTACATGCCTGAGTCACCATGCCTGGCCTACTTCAAATTCAAAAGTTTAACCCAACCTTCACCCCAGTGTCTTCACAAATGCTTAGCAAAGAAAATTCCTAAGACAATTCAGGGGCCTGAATTGTCCGAAGACAATATTGATGCACGAAGTTAAAAAAGCAGTGGCAGGGTTTGAGAGGATTGGCTCCACTTTTGAAAGTTCTACGGTGGGTAAAATGCTATCAAACAACATCGCATGCTACAGAGAAATCTTTCGTGGAAGGAAGGGTCAGTTACTGTGGCAAATTTCATTGTTGTTTTAAGAAATGGTTGCAACCACTTCAATATTTAGCAGCCACCACCCTTATCAGCCAGCAGCCAACCACATCGAGGCAACTCTTCACCAGCAAAAAGATTACGACTCCCTGAAAGCTAAGATAATTAGTATTTTTAGCAATAAAGTATTTTTATATATTTTCTTTTTAAAAAATAATTGAGCTACAAATAAGGGCATCAAGCTTTTTTGTTTTTGTTTTATTTTAGAGACGGGGTTTTGCCATGTTGTCCAGGCTGAGCTCAAGCAATCCACCTGCCTCAGCCTCCCAAAGTGCTGGGAGTACAGGCATGAGCCACGGCACCCAGCCGGCATGGGGTATTTTAAAATTAAGGTATGTACCTTGTTTCCTAGACATAAGGCATTTCACACTTTATTAGACTACAGTGTAGTGTAAATGTAGCTTAGTTTTTTAAGTAGAGACAGGATCTCCCTATATTGCCCAGGTTGACCTCACAACTCCTAGGCTCAAGTGATCCTCCCCCTTCTATGTCCTAAAGTACTGGGATTATAGGCATGAGCCACCACACCCGGCCAATGTAACTTTATATTCATAAGGAAACAAAACAATTTGTGTGACTCGCTTTATAGCAATATTTGCTTTATTGTGGTGGTCTGGAACCCAATCCACAATGTCTTTGAGGTATGGCTGTACTTTTTTAAAATTTTTTTTTATTTTTTTTTTGAGACAGAGTCTCACTCTGTGGCCCAGGCTGGAGTGCAGTGGCGCGATCTCAGCTCACTGCAACCTCCGCCTCCCGGGTTCCCGCCGTTCTCCTGCCTCAGCCTCCCGAGTAGCTGGGACTACAGGCACCCACCACCACACCCGGCTAATTTTTAAAATATTGTTAGTAGAGACGGGGTTTCACCATGTTAGCCAGGATGGTCTCAATCTCCTAACCTCATGATCCACCTGCCTCCCAAAGTACTGGGATTACAGGCGTGAGCCTCCGTGCCCGGCAAAGTATGACTGTACTTTCTAAGTATTTCCTGAGTCAGCCTACTTTTTCTCCATGTTTATTGTCATTATTCTATCCATTTGTTGTTTGTTTTTTGTTTTGCTGTTGTTGTTGTCATTGTTTGGAAACAGGAACTTGCTGTGTCACCCAGGCCAGAGTGCAGTAGCACGATCGTAGCTCACTGCAGCCTCAATCTCCTGTGTTCAAACCATTCTCCTGCCTCAGGCTCTTGAGTAGCTGAGACTACAGACGCACACTACCACATCTGGCTCATTTTTTAAAAACTTGTTTGTAGAGATAGGGTCTCATCATGTTGCCCGGGCTCATCTGGAACTCCTGGCCTCAAGCAATCCTCCTGCCTCAGCCTCCGGAGTAGCCCTGATCAATCCGTTGTTGAAGAGTACATGGATGTTACTTTGCAGTCTGTCATCCCGAGTTTGTGTTTGCTTGACTTTGCCTAATTATGAGTTTCAGCTCACCCACTGTTTGTCAGTAACATGCAGAAGAGACTGTGGCCTTCTTCCTGTATCATATCAGGAAGCCGCTCACGTTGGTTTGTGCCATTACTGTGACTTTCAGCCATGCGGTTAAGGTGGAGTTGGCCATATTTCTCCACTGCCATATTACTGATTTTCCTTTTGCAATGAATAAGTGTGTGTGTGAGTAGATTCTTTGAGATGAGGTATATATCTCATTCTTCCTCGAACTTTAAGATTTTTTTTTTCAAGTGAAAGTAAATTTGTTAGAAAATAAAGGAATAAAAGAATGACTACTCCACAGACAGAGCAGTGTCACTTTAAGGTTCCAACGTCAAGTGATTTTTGTCCAAATCAATAATTACTGTGATGATTGAAAAAAGATGATTACCAAGTTTATTTTCATCGTCTCAAGGTCTGCTGAACTCTGGATCTAGGCTGTGTCGACAGGATAGTGTGGTTCCTATACGCCGTCCAGGCTGGTTTCAAACTCCTGGGCTCAAGCAATCTTTCTGCCTTGGCCTCCCAAAGTACTGGGATTCCAAGTGTGAGCCACCACATCGGGCCAAGTCCTTTACCATCTTCAGAAGGCTTAGGTTGCAGTTTCAACAGAAGGACAGACTCCCAGAAAGAGTGTGAGAGAGATTTGGGGCCCAATGGATAATATCGAGTACACTGAACTTGACTATGTTCACCACGTTCTGGCTTCAGAGAAACGAGAGTCGTTACTGAAGTTGGTGCCATTTTGTGTATCTTCTGTACCTAAGGCGGAAAAAAGATAGGGGAAAGAATATAAGAGGTCAGCTTATATTCACAAACATGGAAGTCAACCTTTTCCCACCTTTTCTTTTTTTTTTTTTTTGAGACGGAGTCTTGCTGTGTCGCCCAGGCTGGAGTGCAGTGGCCGGATCTCGGCTCACTGCAAGCTCCACTTCCCAGGTTCACACCATTCTCCTGCCTCAGCCTCCCAAGTAGCTGGGACTACAGGTGCCCGCCACCTCACCCAGCTAGTTTTTTGTATTTTTTTAGTAGAGATGGGGTTTCACCATGTTAGCCAGGATGGTCTCGATCTCCTGACCTCAGGTGATCCACCTGTCTTGGCTTCCCAAAGTGCTGGGATTACAGGTGTGAGCCACCGTGCCCAGCCCCCACCTTTTCAATCCAATATGGAACCTGCTACCTCCTGAGAAAGCCATGCCCCTGCTGTCCCTGGCAGACCACACAGGAGGATTCATTCCTCCGCTCACTCAATCACACCTTCAACAGAAGTGTATTGAGCGTCTACTTTGCACCAGGCACTGTGGATACATCGGTGAACAGAATTTATATCCGTGGGGTCGCTGGACTCCAGTTGGAAAGTGGGCAGTGGATTCTTTAGAAGGTCCACAGGCCTGGGAAGAGTCTTTGGGGACTGTGAGCAATCCCACGGTACCATGGAGCACTTGGGTGGGAATATCCTCCACCTCCCAGAGCAGCTGTCGGCTCCACCAGGACGAAGCACTGGACATCCAAGGGCTCTGCTTGTGAACCACATTGCAACAACAGACTAGTTACCTTGCAGTCCCTCAGGAATCTTGTTCTGCTCTTCTTGTTCTAAGGAAGCCACAGGTTCCCTTTTTCTCTGGAGAAGTAATCTAGATCTTCGATTTTGGAACCAAATCTAAGTGGGTAAGACAAAGAAACTTAATTTAAACAAAGGATGTTGTGTACGTAAAACTCATGATTGCTTTCTTCTCTTTTTCTTTTCTTTCTTTTTTTTTTTTTTTTTTTGAGACAGCAAGCGGTCTCTCTCAGAGTAGCTAGTGCTACAGGTGGTGATCATCCACCACTAGGCCTAATTTTTAAACTTCCTGTAGAGGACAAGGTTTCACCACGTGGTCAGGGCTGATGGCCTTCTGGGCTCAAGCAATCCTCCCAAGTAGCTGGGACTAGAGGCACACTTGACTGTGCCCAACCCAAAGATATACATATATATAATAATATATAGCTATATTTTATATATATAGCTATAGATTTATAACTGACTATATATTTATATTATATATATTCTTTTATACTACTAGCG